TTTTTCTCATACGCACAAACACGTCGCATTAAGCTGACTCATCGGACATCGATTGTCTGAAACGCCTAGTCAGCGTAGCGACCAATCATGTGCCGACGCGCCCACGTTTACGCACTGGGACCTACATAAAGAGAAACCAAATCCAGTCAAGACACACTCGCGCGCGCGCAGGGAGCAGGACGTCAACCTCTCCACAAGTCCACGGACAACCATGGAGTACGTGTAGCAGTCTAACTGCGGAGAAAAACACGTTCCCGCCGTCCGGACTTCCACCAAGGGACTCTCGCATCCGATAAGTTCCCTTTTTGACTTGCTCCCATTTCACATTGTATTTATTTTTATACGTGTCGCAGAAATACTAAAAGCTTTTATTAGTGCACATCCACCTTCTGATTTGTATTATGGCTATCGCCACCTGTGCACTAATAACAGTGCTATACCGCAGACAAGCAGGATTCTATTGGATTCCAGTCAGGGATTTGTCCCAAAGCCTCTCGTTTTATGGGGGCTCATGACATAACAAAACATTTGCATGTCGTGCAGATTTTAACCACAGCCTATTGTTCCATTTCGCTCGATATGGTTTGAATCAGTGACGGTATTACAATGTATGAATCGAAGTTCCTTAGGAATGATAATATCTTTCTTTTCAAGAATTTTCATGAGATGCAAAATAAGTGGGATGGTGGAACCTGTGTATGGTTGGTAGACCATAATCAGTTGGCTAGCAATCGATCCGTCTATCTATCTTGGCCATTTCTACTTACTTTATCCGGGTCTATCTCCCAATTGGCAATATTGGCCTTGAACAACCCCGTAATGAACACGTAACATATAACACCCAAATTTATAAGGGTGAATATATTGTTCACCATTGAAGATTCTTGAGCTCCACAACTCAGTAGCACTGAAGGCAAAATACAAGTTAGCACGAGGGTTAGTTCATTTACCAATACATTCATGATCACTTTCAGTTGGATTTTGTTGTGAGCAATGTTCACAATAAATTCATCTGCTACACGGTTCTGGTTAGACAAAGGATCGTTCTGTCACTAAGAGAAGTACCAAAGTGTTTTATTCACATTTCGGGTGGGAAATTGGTGAGACATGTGAAAACAGGACTACAATAAAGCTCATTAGGAGAAAACATTTAAAAAAGCGATGAATTCTCATAAGAGGCAATTATTGATCAAATTGTTCATGTTTCCATCGAGTTTTGTGCCGAAAAGACTACAAAACTCATCCACTTTACAGACACCCAGACAATTTCGGGACAACCCATACCTAAACTATGCCATAGGCAGATCACTTGAAGTGAGGGCGATGATTGTCTGAACTTTGGACATTGAGACGAATATCGGTAGCCCAGGTAATGTAGACGATCGTTAGCTTGTTCGCCGAACTGGACAATTTGACTGCAAACCTGTCATCACCAGTCGAGTTTAGATCGTCAATGCGTTGTTAGGCAGTAGGGCTCAGAGTAGCTCTGTGTCGTTGGTGGTAGGTCTAGTAGCAGTGCATGTGTGTAAATATATAAACTGCTGGTCGCGGCTGACCCTTGATCACGGTTTTTTATTTGGTTGGGCGGTTCCATTGACCGATCCGTTATCCTGTGTCTTGATTGGTCGGTGGCCAAGCTCAAAGGCCACGTGGTCCTTGACCAATCGGAACGTAAGATAACAGATCAAACAATGGGACCACCCGATCGAGTAACCAAGCATGATCGAAGGTCAGCTCCGGGTAGCAGCGCGTATAGTAACACACTCCACTCCGCCTCTTAACAGCGCACTGTTGATTTCATCTCGATTGGCGGTCATAGGTTTGCTATCAAACTGTCAGATAGCGAATATACAGACGACTGTGTGCTCGAGGCGCTTTCATGCAGCACTACTCTCTGTGACACAGATTACCGTGCCGCAGCACCAATTCAGGTGAAACCGATGTACTAAAGTGAAAAAAAGCGAAAACCAGAGTGGGGGACGGGACGGAGCGAACCGAAAACACATTGATTTTCGGGTCTCAAATCAAATACCCGTCAACAATTTGTCATGTGTTGATCTATCCTTTATTGTTTATTTTTGAAAAATCGTTACAGATTTTTAACTAAGCAGAAGACTGGCTGTAAAGTCGTGGTTTCATTGAAATAATAATTTCAAAGACAAAGGCGTTTGTCGGTTACTGGGGTGATAGAGGTTGAGAATATGTGTGACCTTTGAGCTCGGGTAAAAAAGAACAATCAAGTCCAACGATCGCGTTTTTCATCTGCTTTAATCAGAATAAATACAATAGGGCAGAAGAAGAACTGTTCAAACGAGATTGATTTGGATGTATTCCCACTTCGAATGTCCAGTGAGGCATAGGCTCGACAGCTGCGTCGATTCGGGTGAGGTGCTTGTCACAGTGCATTTGGTCTCAATATTTGTTTAACCAGGATGTCAGTCGAATCCAAACCGATCGCCTCATCACTGAGAATGATACGCGCTGGACTTCGGTAGATTTCTAGTGCTTCGATTTATGAGTGCTCTATGTATATTGTTGTATACATGCAAATTTGGCCTTCTCAGAGGAGAATGGTTACATCATTGGCTAACAGATTTTCAGAGGTTGCATTAGCTTCTTGTGAACACAGAGCTGTGGGTCTCGTGACCCAACGTTCTACGTTCAGAATAAGCCGATACAACCTCTGGATTTCATTTGCTGACCAAGCTGTAATCCGTGTAGTGTGGTGGCTAAGTATTATTTACGTGTCTTATGCCAGTCATACTGATAACCTAGAGAGGAAACTGCCAAAAACAGAGGAAAAAAGCCGAACTCTCACCCAGAACTCTTCACTCATTTAATATAAACTAGAAGTTTTTCGGTCAAACTATGAATTGTTTTCGTCTGTGAAGCGTGCTAAGTATATATTTGAAGTAAGGCTTCCAAATAAATAGTAACACTGTTGTTGGCTAGTCTGCTATTTATCTTCTTATAAGATCTCTCTTCTTACAGTGCCTCGTGCTATTCACAGTCAGCCTCAGCTGAGAGGCCGAGTAAAACCTAACACTTGTCTCACTCTTGGTGAGAAGTTCTGGATGATTGGTCAGAAGCGGGTTTAACATGCACACAAGACACAATGCCACTTATCCTTCAGCAGCTCAGTTCATAGTAAGGTTGGTTGTGTGGATAGTACTGGAAATGATAACGACATTAATAACAATATGGACAGAACAGTGTCCCAGTGTTTCTCAGTTCTGTAGCCCAGATCGACACTGAGTACCAACTTGGAGTTCATGATAAAAACTTTAAAATCCAGCCACAGTCAGCGAGGAATAGACAGGTTTACTTGTTCGAGAGAAACCAGGTGCTTTCGTTGGTGAGAGGTAACAAGCAGTCTTGTTTGCACGATTACTATCATCAATAGCCATGATAGCCATGTTACAGGTGAACTCAGCTAAATGCCCTCGAGCATGAATTTTAAACTGGGACAACTGAGTTGAAGGAAATCAGTCAAAATCACTGACACCGAGCTTTCGGGAGACCCAGAACAATGGGTTCCGTAGCGCGGGAAACGAAATTAAGCTACAGAGAAAATTGATCTTATGAGGTCTTGTCTCACCCCTGTACTCAGGACTAATCAAAATAATGTGTTAATTGCGTAACTGATTGCGTAACAAAACATTTCTCATTCTCAAAACAGTACTTCGAGAAAAACATCTCAGAGCAACTCACCTGTTACGGCCAGTGTTATTAAAAATGCAAATGGATCCGCATATTCTGCCAGACCCGTCATATTCATTGGCATGTAACGCGAAAAAGCCTCCGATATGCGTCCACCAGTCAAGCCATCAACGTTAGAACTCCATGCTCGTGCCACACTGGAGGTTCCTGGAGCACATTTAAAACTGGGAGTAATATTTCTGGAATTTCACTGAAGGATGGTGCGTAGCAGTCTGGAATTGCCAAAGTTTACCATTTACTTCTTATATCCGGGGCTGCATTGGATACTGCATTATTTTGTGGCCGACTTACCAATGTTGAGATCCTGGGCTTGTTTGGGTATCAGTTGCTACCTCAAAATAAATTGTAGCCAAGCCATTTAGCCGACGACAGTTTCGTTAACTGGTACGTTTCCCGCTTCTCCCGCTAATTTATTTCCTTCACGCTAGGTTCGTATTTCTCTAAATCCCATCTTCGGAATTCCTAGCCGTCAGTTACCGGTGAAAGTTTGGTCTTTGGCATGAACTGTTCTTAGTTAGTGCTTTGATCTTTCATACTGTGTCTTGACTACGGCGTCCATAACCGTTCTGTATTAACCACACCGAATTATCTAATCTGCTCGTAAGGCCATTTAAACCGTTACTTAACGTCGAATATTGTCATCCACTTGATTTGATGAAAGCCAACGAAATACTTATTACAGAACCTTGATAGCGAACAGTCCTTGCATCTCGAACGACATACTAAAGCATGAACAGTTCCGCGGAATCAAGTGAGTGCTTAATTAACAACCGTACTACTTCACAAAAACTTGCAGTGATAGAGAAACGAGATGGCGAGCCACTTCTCAAATGAGAAGGCAGCAGATAAAAGCAAATTTGGCCCTCCCGGGATCTGTTCCCATTACAGTGCGCTTGGCCGTTGCATAACAAGTCTTCTCCAACGGACAACAATTTAGTGCTCCCTGAGTTATTAATGTCTAGAAATGAGCGCTTTTTGGGTTGATCAATCATTGTGTACCAGAAATAACAAGAAGACAGTTGCTTCGATCTACGCCTAACACACGTCAGCTTGTAAAGGGACAGAGGTTCTTGGAACGGGAATAATAACGATGAGTTTCGGATAGATAGAAGCTTGTAAAACTCACCTGGTACTTGTAATGTCAAAAGGTAGATCACCTTAGGAGTAATTACGTTGTTTGTGTCACTGAGTACCATATATACAACAATTATGGAAGTTATCTGCTGCCAGCATTTCACTGTGGAGATCAGTCCCAGAAAAGCTACTGAAAGAGGTTTTATGGAGTGATTGACCCCTCATCCAACTATTGTTATCTCTCGAGCAGTGTAGAACACAGGGTCGGAAGAGTCCATTGGTTCTGCCTTAATGCCTTCGTTAATGAACTACGGGATGCTAGTTGATCCCATTTGTACTGAAATCTTTTAGATCAGGAGCACTGAATATGTCGCCCAAAGGACGTGTTTGGATGGTTTATCATGTTAGAACAATATCTTCAGCGGAGACCTCAGAAAAACATGGCACCGAAAACTTGCCCGGCGTAGGGGGTACGTATCAGGTATCCTGTTTACTATCCTATATATATATATATATATGTATATATATATATATATCCAATGGCTTAATCTCGGATGCCTTGAGTAGAATCCTTGGAGTCGCCTAATCGGAACACACCTACTGAGACCAATAAGACTTGAAATATGTCGCACAGTTATGCAGTAACCACCCGTAGCGAAAATATTATGCTTTGTGAATCATCACAGCCAGTCCTCTCCAAAGATGTTGGAGACAAATGGTGCCATTTCAGACATTAACGTAGAAAAGCAGCAATAGGACCGGTGGGTTTTTCCAGGTAAACCAGTAAAATGTTTACAGTTATATCACACAGTAAATCACAGGTGATGCTAAAAGGTAGGGATAGAAAGAGATCAACTGTAGGTAACCAGAAATTGGCCACTAATTCATGATCACTTTCTACGACTGGCTTAGGTGGTCGGGCTTTATACGCTATTACAAGAATCCAAGACTAGCTATATTGAATTTACTTTACATGTTCAACTCAACCCCTATGTTCAGATACAGACATGGCCGAAAATGATTAACCAATTGTCTTCGAGGAATACACTCATTTGCAAATCACGGGAGACTTAACTGAATCTCTCGTTTATGATATTTTAAAACTGAAAGTGCTGCATACAGATCGCCTCATGTTTCAGTTGGCACGATATTCGATATATCGCAGTATATTTTCATGAAGCAAACTACTCAAGGAAACTGCTGAAAACCTCTTCGACAGCCCATGACCGGTTTCGCCCTTCTTGGGGCTCATCAGGTAGGCGCAGTCCTCGAGTTTCCCTCAACCTTATGTCCTACTTGAAATCAAATTGCGAGTAGTTTCCTCTATGAAAATATACTGCGATATCTCGAATATCGTGCCAACTGAATTATGAGGCGGCCTGTGTGCAGCACATTCAGTTGGAGGACATCAGAAACGAGGGATTCAAATGAGTCTCCCTTGAAAACCAAATTGATTTGCAAATGAGTGTATTTCTCGAAAACAGTCCAATATGGGTTCAAGTAGATCATAAGGTTGACGGAAACTCGGGGACTGCGCCTACCTGATGAGCCCGAAGAAGGGCGAAACCGGTCGTGGGCTGTCGAAGAGTTCTCAGCAACCATGTGAGCAGTTTCCTCTATGAAAATCAACCAATTGTGTTCACAACGTCCAAAACCAATGACATTTGACCACTAGTTGATTCGTTGACGAGCTGTTACATCTTACTATCCACCGAAATGGCTGCTATGATAGCAAGTAGATCAGCAGCATATACCTGCTTACTTTCTTGAAAACATCCTATTTGAGAACCTCTGTACATATATTCATGCATTCATAGTAGTAAAAATTCGGCAGGCCAGCCTTTTGCTGCATCAAAAGTGCTGTAGTTGCTCAGATTGTCTGCAATTTTTTCAACATGTCCAATTTCTTTCGGAAATTAACTAGCCGCCTTCCCTTCGTGTATGGCTTTAGCCGGCAGCTTCAGTACATTGTGAAAATGAATAATCTGCGTTTCCTACCTTTGTTCAATTGCTTATGCGAGGCTGTTTGTTCTTCCAGGTTCAGCGGAACGTGTCATCGTGCAGGTCCAGGGGATGCGAAAACGTACATCCTTGAGCGAAAACGGTAGTTAGATCAACCTGATCCGGCAAGATGCATAAAGATGACTGGATGGATCCTTGCAGTCATGTCGATTGTGAATTTAAGGTCCAACAAGTCACCCAAATCAGAAAAACTCGTTTAAAAGTCATGAGGAACGACGCCTCATCACTGATTGATATCATGTTTACAACCGTTACAAACCTTTTCTTCTTGGGGCTCACCAGTTGGGTGCAGCCCCCGAGTTTCCGTCATTTTTGCGCTCTGTTTGAGCTCAGATCGTACGAATATACTGATTTACACACGAGTTTGTTTTTAACAGGAAACACAAATGGATCACAAATTAATCTCTCGTTCACGATCTTCTTGAGCTGCGATCCAGCAGGGTCTGCTGCAAAAACCAAATTGGTACACTCCGCCCAAGAAGGGCGAAACCGGTCGAAAAAGAGTTTTCAGTAATATTGCGCTGGTGTTTTGTGAAAATATAATGCGATATCTCGAATGAAGCATGAGACGACCTTTGTGCAGTACATTCACTTGAAAAATATCATTAAGGAGACATTCAAATGGGATCTAGTTGAGCGAGTCGTAGAAACCACATGGTTGTGCAAATGAATGTGGTTCACGAACTTTGTAAACCTCGTAATGCAATAAAACAGTGTGATACTTAAGGCCTGGCTTACGCCTAGGCCAAGCTGCTACTCCTAAGTCATTAAAGGTGACATCACAACCGAGGAATAGTACTAACGTCGGAGTTTGAATGACTGAGATGTAGTGTCAGAAAGTTTCTTATATGTTGTCTAAAGTGGCATGCTGGTTTTGAACCGCCAACCGATAAAATATAAAAAGTTGGCCGAATATGAGCATAATCCCTCTTAATGGAGTGTATTTCTATTAAACGAACGCTGAGGCTAGACTTTAGGGTGTATTCACTCAAACTATCAGTGATATCAAAACATTCTGTGGAGGAAAGTCACAAACTTTTGTGACGGTTTTGGAAAAGTCAAATTTGGCCAGAGGCGGAGACGTGTTATTTCCAGTGTTCAAATTTTCTCTTGAACTGGACAAACTCAACAGAAATTTGTAGACCTGTCATACCTACCCATTGTGACACACAACAGCATCAGAAGAAATGTACAGGAACATGAGGCGAGGTCAAGCAAAGACTTTGGTCCAAATAATCGATCGCCCTCGTTGCTCAAGATGCGTGCAAACACCTTCACTTACCGCTTAGCTGCCTTTTCAGTAGGAAGGTTCCTAACACTTAGGGGGTGACGAAAACAGCACCGGTACCGACGAAGAACAACTTGGTCCAATCGACTGTAGCCCCTTTTTTCTGGATCTTTGCAAATTAGTGACCCTGAACCGTGTGCAAGGCAAACTGGTGGACTAAGACTCACACTAATTTGCATAGCCAGTCTCACTGCACAGAAGACGCTATTGAATAACTGGTTTATTCTGTCGCTTCAGCAACAAACACAGGAGCCAGGAGTGTACTTTTGTTGTTCATTGAACACGCTGACAACGGAGAATTATTGTGGCTGTAGGTGGACAGAGCTCAGTTGAAATGAACAAACATCACATTACAAACCGCACCATTTACAGGTTCGGATAGGTGCTCTTCTTCTCCATTGTTTATTAAGAGCTGCAACCTACAGATTATTAGTTTTATCGCTTTCCTCCACTTTCAACGTAAGAGATATGTCCATGTTTGGTTTTCTCATTCAGTTCGAGTATGCTTACGTCAGAGTGACCAGCTGAATCTATCGTCTGTCTGGAGCAAATCTGCAGCGTGAAAACTGTGATAAATGAAGACGGATGTTGTATGTTTTCCAATGACCTCAGGTACGGTGATGTTACCTTATGCACCATTATTGCTCAGTGTTACTATTAACAGCTCACTGATTCCGTTGTCTCTCTTCTAAGTTGGGCTCCCATATGAAAGCAAAATTTAGTAGAGTTTGGTTTTTATCCTTCTACGCTACGGGAACGAGAGATTCAGCTGGGTCCCAGGTGAGTCTCCCGAAAAAAGCAAATTAGTTCGCAAATGAGTGTATTTCGCTAACTTTTTGTTCTCTTCATCCTTACTCATAGGTTTAGCATTGTCTCCATTTTCTCCTACTGTGATAAGTATTCCCATGTGCTCTTATCCGGACCACTTGAGATAGATTACCACTAAAACATCCTTGGGGGAATCTCGAAGAATATACTGATTTTAATATTTTCATAATATTTTGCCATTTGTGTAACTTTCCCCAAAATCTTTCTCAGCGTCTTTCACCTTCATTAGTCACTTATTGAAGCAACGATAACTTCACGCGTTCTCCTCAAGCCCCTAGTCCTGCCAGCTACGACTCCGCCTCACTGTGATACTATGACCCCTCACTCAATTTTTAGTAAATCGCAGTGCCTTGGATAACAACCTAGTTTATAATAGACTTGTGCAAGTTGTTAAATTCTGGGCACTTCAGGCGGACTTCTTAAAGTACATAAAATCGTTACCCACGATACCATTGTGGATTCCTATGCTAAACCTTTAATCCTGGATGCTTCGAAATTTGCTTAACAAGATTTGGACCTGGCTTAGTTCAAGCGATGCATGACTATGGGTTTTCGCCAAATATCTTTGACTCAAACCAGTGAGATTACCCAAAATTCATCTGCCGCAGCAGCAAAGAAGGATGCTTAATTTGGTCTGGATATCTAAATGTCTTTTTGCACAAAAAACCGTAAGTGAATAATATTCGAGTAGTTGAATTCGAATCCTTGCTCTGAACATAACCGAAACTGGCTTATAATCCAGATAATTGGTGTTTGTTTAAGTTCATACGTTTTTTACTTTTGTTTGACACTATGCCACAAGAGCCTCAAACCGATTCTGACCTTTGGCAAAAAAGTGAACATTTCCGACAGATGTTACACACAGTTTGAGATGAAAAACTGTTCGGTATACGGAAAGCGGCATGCATCTAAAAAGTGCTGGTGGTCACACAGCTTTTGAAAACTTATTGATTAAAGTACCAGTAAGACATTTGGAACCTACCAATTATGTACTGCAAAATTAAGGTCCACCCGGTAATAAACGCCATCAGTTCACCCACGGCCACGTAGCTGTATATGTAAGCCGAACCAGTTTTTGGAACGCGGGCCCCGAATTCCGCATAACATAAACCTGGCGTAAACGGGATAGATGTGAATAGCCTACGGCAAAAAGTTGGTAAAGAGCACAGTTCACGTTACTTTGTTACTTTGTTGTTTTCCATAGCTGGAACGGTTTGATGACCATATGGTTTATACTTGCTTCCGTTTAAATTTCCTTATGAACACTAAAATCAAATAACTCGTCGGAGACTTTTGTCAGCCCCGGAGCAGTTGGACTCATTTTTCGACAACTTATGCTGTGTTCACGACTCCGACTGCAAATAACCCTGATTTTTAATTTTCTGTGTAATAGTCAATAATGTTTATGAGTAGTTTACATTAATTCATGTGATTTAATGCAAGAATAAACGCAAAGGATTGCTCGGCTGCTCAGAAACATGTTACTAGTTATTCTTTTCTGAATTCGGGGTACATCTTGGAGACGGATTGAATGAGTAGGAGTCTTCTCGGGGTAAAGTCGATAAATATTACGGATGTCTGAAGTTGCGCTGAACTTTGTGCGTGGACATAATTTATTTGTTTTGCCACTGTTTATGACTCTTTAACACTTCCCAAGACAAAGATGGGCTTTATTTTTGACTTCATCAACCACATACCTGGGTGTCATGGTAGCACTCAGACAACTGTAAAAGCCCATCCAGTCTTTCCAAATGCTTTGTGCCAGCATGGTTCTCCGTGGACACTCAGAAAGGACATTGGCCGGTCAGTGAAAAGAACAAGCCTGCTGAATTATTTCACGCTGGAGCTGATCTTCTAGTTGCATGGCATTTTGTTCATATCATGCGCACTCCTTCCAAAACGCACAGAACCTATTCGATCATACACTATGTGATATAAGTCAACTCGTACGGGAAGCAAGTACCGCTTTAGATACATGAAAGTTAACAATGACGGACTCACTGAGACTTTTGGTCCACTGGGCGAATATATGACTAGTCATATATGGTGTCTGACGGCATACGTTTAATGGTCAACAGCATCGTATTTAGCCCAGCTAATGAAGGTCTTGTCAAGTAGTCGAGTTATATTACATCAGCGGAAGGTTACTAAACGCAGCATGCAGAGTCGATCTTTCTACAAAAAGTGGACTAGCTATCCTCTTATCTTATATCATAGTGGTTCAATCTAAAGCATAATTGTAGCATACTGAGTAGTATGATTTTGCAATTTGCATTCAGAAGGCAGATTTGCCCCACAGATTTAGTAATGTAACCTTATGGGCCTGCAGACTTGCAGATCAGGGTAAATACCAGAGGTGTAGAAAGCTAAACGTCCAAATAATTAAAAATGTAAAAAAATTTTCAGGGAAATTTTAGTACTTTGAAAATGTATGGAGCTTTCTCTCCTGAGAGACACCATACTGATATGTTTTACGGTATCTTGAGAACATTATGGCACTAAGAACACACAGCGCACGACAGCGAACAAGTGTGATGGCGAAATTAGGGCTCGCTTAAGGTATTGGTAGCTACCAGAAACATAAGGAGGCCTTGAATACAATTAAGCCACACCATATAACACGATTGTTTGCCAAAGTTGTGCTTACTGATCCGATTAGCGCTGGACTAGCCATCGTAAGCACAAATTAGATGTTTATATTGTGGCATGCTGTGATCCGTCAATTTATCTGATAACATAATGCTGAAAGCACCAACTGCTAACAACTGATAAGGATGCGTCATGGAGCTTTTCTCACATCACAAGGTTTGAGAGGCATGACCCTTTGTGCCAAAACACTTTTCACATATCTATCATTGGCTTGTCTTCAAAAATCATACAGAGAGTATATGGTTACTTCGATGAAAAATAAACCGCTGTGTCTAGTTAAAAGCGTGTTAGATTGAGCGGTCACCTTCATCCTTAGTTTCAAGTAAAAATCAAGCTTCCTACTCGCTAAAATTCTAATGTGTTTCCTAAAGCTCAACTGTTTCTAATTAGGTTCAACAGTTCCCTTTCTGATACCGACGTCATCAAGTGCTTAGAATAGATAACGGCTTGAAAAGCACAATGTCTCTCTGTCATTAATCACAGTGGGTATGGTAATGCTGTTTCACTGGGAGAAGATGCTAGTTCTTGCTTGATGAATTTATGTGACAGTTTCTAATGCACCACGAAAGGTACAAAAATAAGCCTTTTAAATTTTGATGTCAGTGAAATGTCCACTCCCGTTGGCTGAGCATAAACTGCTTTCTCCGAGCCTGTAGGTGTTTTTTAATTTTCATTTACTCTGGGTTTATGAAGTCAATCTGATGTTTTAGTAAATCTGGTGGTGCAGAACAGGCTTTGAAGAACAATTCTTTCGGTGCCATGGCACCTGGTTTTGCATAAAAACGTTTTGTCGCCTGTATTAACCATGCCCAAAAATACAAAAGCTTTTTTGAACAGCTTGCATGAAAACCCAAATTTCCATCTTTGTGCATTACAATCTGGGAATAAGTAGAGCTTAGGCGTTCACTAGGTTAACTTTGCTGGAATATTTTTTTAAAAAGTCAGTATTTTACTGACATACCGGTTAAGTCACAAGGCTAAACACATTTTTGTGGCCGAAAAAGTGGGACTTTGATTCATCAACTGGAAGTATTTAAAAGGCAAAATGCACACGTACTGATAGCGATTGGTGAAATTATGCGAATTTCCCAGTGAGCAGATCGGAAAAGTTTCAACATTTTCTGTATTTTAACAGAAAAACGGCCAAAGCAGAAACGGTATAAAAATAACTGTATCCACGCTTTTGAAACTCCATAGCTCTTCAACAAAGTTTGTGAAAGTAGTCAGAGGATATGAACAGCGCCATATTTGGCACTGGTTCAGCTAAGTGTACTCGTCAGTTTTGGCAAATATTCATGTTTTCGAATATTAAACTGAAAGATTTCGGTGCTTTACGCTCAGTGAAATCGCAGGATGAATAATTATTTTGACCTATCTAAAAGAACCGAAAATTGATTTTACAGAGAAACTTTTGGGTTAGGCTACTTTTTGACATCTTGTGAATATGCCTCAACTACAATGCTTTCGTTTCCGTGGACTACTCCACTATTAAACAACAGTTAATTGTTGTTCAAGAACAGGTGAACAATAAATGCTACATAGATTTGTTTGCTGTCATCAGAAAAGGCGAATCACATTTTTGTCAGCATTGTGTGTTGAATGGGAGCGACCTTTGAAGTTGGTTTTCAAGCACGTTACATAGCGTATAAGTCACATTCCGGTTAGATACTGTTAAGTTAGTGTGAAAGTGTGGCTGTAGGGTGCTTCATGTCTGACAAAAGAGCGTGCAAAGGAGTTGGTGAATAGTGAGCAGCGTAATGGTTTGTGCCTATCGGCCAAGGTTTAAAAGCTTTAGAATGAATCTGACGATATTCGTCACATGAAGTTCCTGGAATCCTTTGCTTAGCGCTCGGCACAGAGCACATATTACCATATACCTCGCACTTTATTGGGCTTTCCCTGTACAGTTAATCTTCACTACTTTTGAGTCTTTTCTGTGTAACCAAATAAATGGCCATCGTTATGAGCAGGTTACAAATCAAATCATTAAAACGTGTCACAATGCTTATAGTGTAGTCTTGAATACAACGTGTAGTCAGGTAAGCAGGATTTTATTGCTTAAAATACGTTCCCGATGTACCCACATGACGAATAAGTCTCGGGATCCTGTTTGCGTTAGACGATATTAAACGTCATGCCAGTAAGTGAGTTACGCTAGCTAAGCTCTACATAATTCTTAATAAAATGAGTGGTTCAGGGGGCCTGGCGCTACCACGCATTAGTAACAGCCGATGCTCGGAAAATATCAGTGTTTTCTATTAGTAAATAAAGATTACAGCTCAAGCGGCTTCAAAATCAATCAATATAACGACAAGAAATCGAATTCAATCTGATATGTTGTCAAACAAACAAAAATCAGAAACATGTCAGAGGTATCTAGTGTGCCTTTTAACGTAAGTTGCAACGGTGTTGGGAAAATCCGTCAAGAATGACTAAATTGCCGATGTGGGATCCCAAGCTTTTCTATCGTTAGGACACTGGCTTCTTGGCATTGAGTTGCACCCTCGGGCAATGCAGAATTAGGATTCTGACACCCATTTTCCCGTCAACAGCTTAAAGCTTGTTTGGTTACAGAACGCAAGATCATGAGGAGGGGTAACGCAGAGGTGTCAGGTCACCATTTCCACTCCGGAAAGCCCCCAATGTTTTAAGGGTTTATTTTAAATCACTCCAAGTTTGTTACGAGGGGAACTGTAGTTTATGGAGAGGATTCAAAACACTGAAAAACCCATATGTGCAGCTGGCGGCTTTATCAGGTGCTCGGCTAAGTCACTGAGCGGTATCTAAACAGTAAAGAAACACAGCATTGAGTAGCCTGGTATTCCTCATGGTGGTTGCAGATAGAACGAATTGGTGTCCTTACTGCTGACAGAAGCGTTACAGCGCCGAAGATGAAACTGCATCGCACAACACATCTGGGCTTGTAACGTTTCTACACGAGTACTCATGGTCCACTTCGCCCTGAGCGGCAAGTTTCCATCTGTGGAATTATTGTTCTTCCAACGATGAGAGTTGCCAGAGAACCTACGTGGATCCACTTTTTAATTACATGATGTGTGGCAGTATACCCATATGGCTTATTCAAGTAAGTGGCTTGACATACAAATGATGCATGACGATTTATAAAGTTTATTGAGTTCACGTGTTGTTACTGCTACTTTGGAAGCCCAGGTGGGTCTTGACTAAGAAGACTCTGGACCGAAAATGAGTTCAGTACCTATTCAAACATATACACTTATGCAAACCTTAATTGAAAGAATGTTGAAACAATGTTACTACAGGCGCCAATATCTGCTCTTCATAAGCCAAAAACAGCTTCGCCCCATAAAAACACCGGAAAACCAAACAAGTGGCCATCCACCTCCCATTCTCCATACTTTAGCCCGTAGGAGGTGGCATGACCATTATTTTTGCATTTAATCATCCTAAAAACTTACAAAGTTAGATTCCTAATGATCTTTTTCTTTGATGATGATGCCGAATACCCCTAAGGGGGCGATTATACGGGGTAGGCTTTTCAAAGAAATTTGATTTATCCTAAACTTTCCAGCTTTATTCTGCTTCATTTCACATTTTTCTGCCCCCTAAAAAAGTGCTGCAATCTGATTAGGCTACACTGCCTGGAGCATATGGTAAATATGCAATGTAATGCTGCCAATAATGCTGTTGCGCTGAGGATTTTTCCTATGCACCTGAGTCTGCGCCGTCTGAAAAGCAGCAGGATTCAGCAGTCTCAGCAACCCACAGTCTTCCACATGACTCCTTTATAAGTCTATCACACGACGCAAACTTCAAAGATCAAGACATTACCCTACTCTAGCACAGACTCGCAAAACAAGAAATTTCCATACCGCTCGATTGTTCCATACTGTACTAATCTCTCAAATGAGACAAATCGCCTTTCCTGTGTTCATGCCAGAAACTGACCGCTTTGTCCGCAAAATCATACCCTAGTTCCTCATTCGTGTCTCCTCATTCACTTGAATATATCATCAATTTAGTGTTATTCCTAACAGAATGAGCAGTTAAAAAGATTTTTCCGGTTAGATAACCGATCTTTGGTGGTTGTTTGCACCATTAAAGCCACCATATAACCGTTCTCGTGGTTTTCTGGAGGCTAAAACGATTATTAACTGTCAAATAACCGTGTTTGGCTGTTATTCTACTGCACACCTATGTGCGGTTAAATAAGGAAACAGGGATTACTGGGGATGAGTGATAACAAGATCACTCGCGCCCTCGACATACCTGATAAAACGGAGGACACAGCCGCAATTAAGAATGACAGTATCACAGCGGGACCTGCGAAAAATCTGGCAACTTCACCAACAACAACGTACACTCCTGCGCCAAGAGTGCACCCAATACCTGGAGTAATTTTATTATTGTGACACTGAAAAATGGTAATTTTACCCAGTGCTGTAAGGTCAACTACAGACAAACAACGAGATAATCTGGTATTCGAAATATCATCTGCATGAAGCGCCTTCTTTCTTGATAGATTCCGAATAAAAGAATTCACGTTCGCAATGAAATCTGCCGGAGCGAGTCCTGACATCTTTCAACACGACGACGCTTTATCGAAATTTCGCCATCAAATAAATTTTTACTGTAGTGGATACAAAGTCATTTATACATATACAGTTCAAAAAGCTGGATGCTTACTTGAACCGATCAAGATGTCACCGTTGTGGGAAAGTCGTGAAAACAATAGGTAGATCAGTTACCGTGTGACCTCCCGTTCTTACACCAAAGCTTCGCCCGGCCTTGTCTGGCAAGAGAACGATGGGCAACCTAAGATCAAGAATACATCTTGATGTTGCCATCAATCGCACAGGGCCTCGCAGATGAAACCAAGCTAAAGTGCCCAAGCAACCAAGCAGACAGATATGGGTCCCGAATCCGTGAACGACGGAGAACCTAGTCGTTAAAAAGACGGTGATGTACGAGCTACAAGTGAAAGGAAGAAGGCCTTCGCCCTGAAGTTATTGGAAAACACCAACTGAATGGTGACAGACCATTGGACATGGAAACAAAGCTCTCTAATATGCACTTTGTTTATAAAAAATGTGTATCCGTCTTCTTCTCGAATAGGTCTTACTGAACCTTCCTGGATATCCACTGAATATCACTGAAACGTAAACGAATGCTACAGAGCGATTCCACAAATCCCGCAATGAATCTCACGTTCAAATGGACGCGAAACGGACTTATGAGGAAACCGCACACTACTCACACGCTTCATCATTAGTATCCTCCATTACACACCTTCCCCCTTTACAGGTCGTTCGCACGCCACCGATTTTGATTTACCTCCGTCAGATCGGGTCCAGTAGCTGGTCTATTCGACCGCTCTTCGAGCGTATCATGCCACTTACGAAGCTGAGTCCCATTTACTCTTTCCGATCCCCGACCGTCTTGAACTGTATAGAGGATACCACCGGCGGTCGGTAGCGAGAAACGGACCTTGCCATCGACTTCCCAGCTCTCGTGATCCCAGTCAGCTCCCCCCAGGTTTGTGATGATCATTCCACTTGGACTTCGCGCCTTCGTGCCCTTCTACTGGCCGTTTTTGCCTAGACCTTTGCTGAACGGCGGCCAAGCCTTCTTGAGCTCTCCTCCTTTCTTGCTCTAGCTATTCTGGAGACATGCGTGTTGGCGGTCACAACCCGATCTCCTGATCAACAGGCGCAGATGTCGACCGTACATCAGCATCAAAGGGGATTTACCTGTGGTTGACTGTACGGAAGGACGATGAGCAAGCAACATCATTGGCAGGTTCACTTCCCAGTCAACTTCCCTGGCCGCCAGCCACTCATTCGTCGTTCGGTTATTACGTTCGGTTAGACCATCAATTTTCGGGTAGTATGATGCCGTCCTAAGCCGTCTGATTCCCAGCTTCTGCAAGCAATTCCTGATCACTTCGCTTTAGAAGCGAGGCCCCAAATCGGATCACTTCTGGCACCCCATGGTTGACCGTGATGTGATGTGCTGCCACCCCGCTGATCACCGGCACCCGTTGATTTCGTTCGGCTACCCCCCTCATCCACCGCCACAGGTGTTCTGTCATTGTCACGATAAATTGATTCTCGCTGGTTGTCGCCGGAAAGGGGTCCATGACGTCAACAGACCATAACTGGCCGATTTCTGAGACAGGAATAATTTCCATGGGATAGGTTGCCCCTGTCGTTTCTTCTTTCATCGGGTGGCGCCCCTTACAGAGCACCACATAATCACCTCACTTCCCATCCCGGGCCAGTAGACCCTCTGCAAAAGTATTCCATACGTTCTTGGGCGCTCTGTGTGCGCCATCTCATGCCACTTGACGATGAGCTTCCGTCTCTAGACACGAGGTATCACGGACAACATCCGAATCGGTGGCGTTCCAAGAAAATTAACCCAGCTTAATTCAGACCCAGTCGATCAAACTGACTCTGGAGCGTTTCCAATTCCTTGTCTCCCTCTCCGTTCTCGATACTCATTCCATCCAACAAGGCGGCTTCCACTTTCCTTAATACAGGATCCCGCCTCTGGGGTTTAACCAACCATCCAGGATTCAGTTCGATGTCAAGACCATTGGCCCTAGTCATGATCCTGTGAGCCTCATCTTAAGCCTCTGGCCTTGGAAGCCACTCAGCCAATTGGGTGTCCTTCCCTGACACGTGCTGGAACGCACGTAGTAGTACGCACGTAAGCGGTAATCTTGCAAGCGGAGTACCCAGCGCGCGAGCTTTCCGCGAAGATCTCTTGTGGTCATGATCCACTCCAGTGATCGACATGTGTCGACATGAAAATTTTCCCAAACAGATATGGTCGATACCGCGATCACCAGCGCCCGTTGCAACTGTGAGTATCTCTCTGACCCTGGGCGATTTGAGTGTCAGTTGTCGATCCAGCACCCGCGCTTTGACACGCCCGAAAGCCTCACGTACCACTCTGGCCCAGTTGAATTTCCGATTTTGCCTGAGCAAGTCGTACAATCGAGCAGGTATCTGTTGAAATTCATAACAAACCGGCTGTAGTATGCTGCTGGTCTAAGAAAATGCCGTAGAGACCGCTTTGAATTGGGGACAACAAAGTCCTCGATCTTTGGAAATTTTTCTGGCAGTGGGCTGAATTCTCCGTGACCCACTTTGTGCCCCAGCAGTCTCACCGAACTCCAAGCGAGCTGTCTTGGTTCCGTTTATCCGCAGACCAGCCTCCCGGATCCGCTTCAATACAGCCATAATGTGAGCTGCGTTGTCCGATTCCGAATTACTGTACAGAACGATATCATCTCCACACACGGGAACATTCTGGAGTCTCTTCGTTAAACGAAGCATCAAGCGCCGAAGTGTGAACGGTGCCCCAGACAAACCAAACCGCATTCGTCTAAATTTCTATTGGGTGTCTCCAACCGTAAACGCCGTTTTCTCTCGGTCTTCCGCTGTGATATGTAGTTGCTAACATCCGGAACGTAAGTCGAACACTCTGTTACCAAGGCATTTCGGACTATCTACGGAATGTATTGCATGTGGAAGCTGCTCAGATGAAGACCCCTGGACAACCATGATTGCATTATTGTCTATTCACTTACTTGGGCCAACGTCTACCTGTTTTAAAGAGAACAATTATTAGCGACTCTGTTCCATCTGACCTCTCCATTATTGCATACTAACTCAGGGGTATCATTTTTATTCCTTTGCGAGACACCCATGGTAAAGTAAATTATTGGGTGGAAAGGCCACCACATACACCATTAACTACGTAATAGTAAGAACCGGCCTCTCCACTCCTGCTCTAATAAATAACGCTATTTCGTTTATTTTACCGGAAGATACTCAAATTCGGAGAGTTATTGGAAGTCTTGTAGGTCATGTGCATAATTTAGTAACAAAACGAACTTTCCTCAGACGCTTCGGTCAATAAGACCTGTCTGAAATCCTCATGCAGTCTTTCACCAGGCAATTCCTGAAAGCCTCTATTTTTGTTGACACGTCTGCCTCTGAGTTCCATAACCGCATGGAGTTTTATCACCAGGATCTGATATACAATGCATCCGATTTTTCTGTGCGTGACAGCCTGACAGTCAGTGAGGCACTGGACACCATCTGAGGGTGTCGATGGCTACGAAGGCCAAACGGACGTGTTGCCCGATATTGATATGATTAAAAGAAGCATTGTCCGCTGCGCGCCTTGCGAAATTCCAGGTCATTATCTCCCGGTTCCAACTATCCTAGAAGATAAAGATGAAAGCTGCGCGAACTCGATAGAGTGATGGGCTTGTGTAAACATTCACTGAGCCAATCCAAAAACTTGGCCACTCAGAGCTACAGACGGGGCTCTCTTGCCCTTCCCGATGCACCAATCAACCAAAGCTTCCAATGTGGATTGACCCCATAGTCCATCTATTGGGATCCCGCGGATAACCACGCAGGCCGAATAACCGCTGGTGCCTACTCGAATGGCGGCCCAAGAAGCACAATCACAAACCACAGCCTACCAAGTGTGCCAGATAACCAGATAGAATGTCTCGAAGTATTTTGGAAAGCTCACTCTAATGAGGCGCAAAATAACGGGCCGGAAAATGTTGATCCTTTAACTTTTTCAATAAAACGCAGTACCACATATACGAAATACTTAATAAAAAGAGCATACACCTAAATTTATGAGGCCTTCTGAATAATCGTTGCACGACGTAACGTAAATCCAAAAACGCCTGGAGAAGACGGGAAACTAATGTCAATTAGCAACACACCCAAGCATAACAGCCGGCGGTGAGACGCACATCCAAAATTTCTCTGATACCGTGGTTCGAAGGAGGAAAACTTTAACACAAAGTTTTAACATTTGATAGTAATTTTTCGGGCATATGAGATCTTCCCAAATGGCCGCAGTTTTGTTGAAAGTTGTTTAAACCTACTCAGTCCCCACGATATTCAAGGCCCCCGATATTCATATTTTAATGGCCGCTATGGCTGAGCACGTGGATGCGGAGGATGATTTTGTGGAGAATTTAGCTCAAGAGTTTTTTCTCATTCAATGCATTCCAAGTCGCTTTGAAAGAGTACCAGGCGAAAGCTTTCGTTGTTTTTGTCCGCATAAACTCCAAAAAGAGCAGCAATTCGCTACTTTTGTATGTAAAAGCCTTCTACCGTTGCAGTAGAAATCCCTGCAGACGAAGACTAAGCCGTGGAATTCGTCGCACCTAGTAAGTTCATGGTTGATTTTATGTACGCGGTAGCACGCGTCGTACTGATTGTCCGGCAAGGTTCCACATTCGCCGGTACCATGACTGCTTGAGGGTTACTTCCTACTACCTACATACCTAGTACTTTGGAAAGTTACTCACTATCAAGAATGTGCGTAACTATTGCGTCAAATGTCGACCTCATTGTTAGGTAGGTCGTTTCTTACCTTTTAGTCTGTTTCTTAGATGACATGTCATCCATCATAGCCAAGTTTCGAGAGCGCGGTCGCGTGCTGATGGGTGGACACTATAAAGCCAAAACGTTCGTCATGTACAAGATGACTTCGCAGATGCGGGCTGCCGAAGCTGTATTCGGCTGCGTTATAATG